TATGTTTATGAATAGGAAAACTAAATGATAGAATGTCAGTACTACCCAAAGTAATTTACAGATTCAACACAATCTCTATCAGACTTCCAGTAGCCTTTTTTTGCAGAAATGAAAAGCTGATACTCAAATTCATATGAAACTGCAAGGTATAACTCAAATAACTGAAAGAGTCTTGAAAAAGAACAAAACTGTAAGGCTCACACTTCCCAGTTTCAAACTCATTGCCAAGCTGTAATAATCAAAACACTGTGTCACTGGAGAGACATAGAGACCAAATGGAACTGAGAGTCCGGAAATAAACCCAAACATCTATGGCCAATCAAGTTTTGACAAATGACAAGAGTGTCACTTCCTTCATTAGAAAGAATGTCTCTTCAACAAATGGTGCTGGCACAATTAGATTTCCACACATAAGAAGAAATGAAATTGAACCCTCAACTCACACTATGTGCAAAAATTAACTCAAAATGGATCAACCTGCACTTTCCCAAGCACAAGGCTATGTCAGTATCAGAAAAGATACAAGTGAAAATTATTTCATTCTGAAAGAATAGAATTCTTTAGGAAAAACATATTTTTTTGTGCATAATTTATTTACTCTTCCAATATTTATTGAACAACAGTGTTGTGACAGTTTTCATACCATGGTGAACAAACCAAACTTGTTCCCAGCTTTGATGGAACTTATAGTTTGGAGAAGGATATGGACATTAAGAAGATAATTCTACTAGTGAACGTTCAGTTCCAGTTGTGATATGTAATATGCAAGAAGTATATGTGCTCTGGGCCTGTAGTAGAGGAGTATGTGCTGCTCTCAGAAGACCAACTTGATGAGGGGCAAGTTTTGCTGATATACAGGATATTAACTGGGTGAAAACGGGGTGGGTGGGTGGGGTGGATAGTTAGCTCCTGAGGAGTCTAGGGGTTCTGGTTGTATTTCCAGAGATAGCAGTAGTCATCCAAGTGAATTTCATGTTCCTGTTTATTCCTGACCCTTCAACTATAGTGCTCAGTGGCTGTTTTCTATCTGTGTGTTCCATCCATCTCCCAGAATCTCCATTATTTATGGCATAGAGGGTATTGAATAAGTGGGCAATCCATGGTAGAAGGTATTTGAGAGTCTACTAGAAATTAAATTTGTTTCAAGGTCATAAAATTCTAAGGCATTTAAGAATTTTTAAAGAAAAATTGGCTGGGGTTTAGCTCCTGGTGGACTGCTTGCCCAGAAGTGTGAGGCTCTGGGTTTGGTTCCTAAGCACAAAAAAAAAAAAAAAAAGAGATTAAAAAATTTATCTTAAATTTTAACTTCCTTTTAACTAATGACGTTACTAGGCAGTTTCTTCAGAAAAAGTATGATAAACAATACCTTCTTCATAAATTATGCTCTAAGAACCTACTTATATTTTTCAAATAGAATTTTTTTCCACGTGTTTTAATCTTCATTTTGGATGGAAGTGATCTGAATGGTTTATGTAAATTCTACAAGAAATTAATAAGGACTTCTACAAATCACTGTCATTTGTAATTAAAATGCTTTAACTTACATTGATGTTGGCATTAACAAGTGCTGCTCCATTGGTGGCATAGAAAGAAATTGCATTTAAACTTACCAGGAGCTCATTGATGCCCAAGTTTTTAAATGCTTTCTGTGGGCCGTTTAACTGCTGGCAACTGTAGTTCACATGATTCATAATAATGGAAATTTAAATTTATTTTTAATTGAAAAGTGAAGTTACTTAAATTCTTTAAATGTTAACCTTTAGAAAAACATCTAAAAAATAAAGGCCCATATGATTTTGATGGCCCTCTGCCAAAAGATTATAATTTACATAAATATCTCTTTTAGCTGAAGAGTTTAATGCATTGAGCTCAGAAGGTTAGAAGAGAGACTTCAATCTGGAACCCGGCAGTAGTAGCTGGCTTGTGAGCAGTACCATTGTTCATGGCATTGAGAACACTGTTCGCATTCAGGCCTAAGCAGCGCTGGCATTTAAATGCAGTTAATTTGTTTCATGTGACTTGTCAGCTGTGTGTTTTTATCTAAATCTTTCTAGTCCTACTCTCCCCCCACCTACCCCCTGTGGGTTAAACTTATGAAATAGATGAACTACCTTTTAACTATTTATGTTCTGGTATACTTTGGTCACTTTTGCAAATGATGCTTCTGCAGTCAATCTTTGGGTTTTCCATCCACTTTAAGTTTATCTAACAATCAGTTTGAATGCCATTTTACTTTATTAAAAGTAATCCCATTTCAGAAAACTTTTTCTGTTTCATGCAGGTATGTATGTCTACAGAAGGACTTCTTGAAATTCATTTAGACAGAATTACTGTCTTTATTTTCTCAGCAGCACCCTATTCTTTTGTTTGCTAATTTTGTTCTCTAGATTTTTCCTTAAATGACTTTTAATATTTGGCTTCTTGCCGAGTACTGGGTCTGAGTGGTAATGTGCTGATTCCAAAGAAATAGTATAACTGTTACAATTATTTAAGGAAGATTCCCATTTCATTTTTGAAGGGATTGAAAATCTTTTTTAAAAAACTTTTTTAGTTGTAGATGGACACAATACCTTTAATTTATGTATTTATTTTTATGTGGTGCCTAAGATCGAACCCAGTGCCTCACATGCTTAGGCAAACATCCTACCATTGAGCCACAACCCCAGCCTGGGCATGAAAACCTTACTGCTCCTCTGAAATTGTACTCATTTAATACAGCCTAACAGTTCATATTCTTGATTGGGAAATGAGTATCTTTGAAGATTAGTGCCAGTGATTTTGAAACAGTTTTTTGAGGTACAATTGATATATGGCAAACTGCCATTTTATAATGAAAAACCAGCCTCTATCTCAGAGCAAAGCTGTCCAAGGAAGGGACATGGCCTTTGTCCTTGGAAAAACCCACAGAGCACTCCTAGGCACATTCCCACCCTGCTAAGTTGTTTATCTATAGGAGAGATCTGCTGCGCCAGGTGTCCCTGACTCAGTCAGGCTAGGTGGGGATCCATAGCAGCCCCCTAGCAGCCACCAATCAGCATGAGACAGGGAAATACCTGGGATGCCAGATAACCCTCCCAGTAGTTTATGGTAGTTGATAACCTGTTGGGAAACCATGTTGTTCAGCACATACACCCCTCTTGGCTTAACCAATCAGTTCAAACGAATACCCCTTTTGTACTGACCAATCACCCCTACCTAACTTGTTCCGGCCAGTGAATGTGCTATTCATGTTTTAGAGTTGTTGTTTGATTTTCCCGCGGGTGAGGTGATTTGTTATGCTGTATGTGAAGTCCTTGCCCTTTTCAAAGAATGTATATAAGCTCTGCTCAAGCTGTTCTCGGGGCTCTTTGCTCTTTACCTCTTCGAGGTAGGCTTGGAGCCCCCAGCATGCTGGACCCCCAATAAACCCTTTGCTGTTGCATGAGACAGTCTCTTGGTGGTCTTTTCCTCCTACGTTCGCCTGACCTTTACAATAATTGTACAGTTTCAAAATTTACAAAAGGGCTGGGGATGTAGCTCAGTGGTGAAGCACTCCTGGGTTTAATCCCCAGTTCTGCAAAAACAAACAAACAAATAAACAGTATAGTTTTACTAGCTTAATATTTTTATTTATTCACAAAATCAACATCATCAGTCAGGAAAGTGGACAAATCCATCATTTCTAGAAGTTTCCTACTGGTACTTTGTAATCCCTTTCTGTCACCTACCTGCCTCCCTCATCCCCAACTTCACAAGGACCTTGACCTGCTTGCTATTGATTGGTTTATACTTGCTACTTTAATATAAATGAAAACAAACAACTATGCTTTCTTTATTGGCTGGATTCTTTTACTCAGCATCATTTAATGAGATTTACCCATGCTGTTGTGTGTATCGATGGTTCACTCCTTTTTATTGCTGGGATGTGTTCTGTTGTATGAATATACCATCTTTTATCCATTCTCCCATTGGCGAATGTTGGGGTTGTTTCCCGTTCTCCTCATCCACCTTCCTGTCTCAGCCCCTCTCTCCTTTTTTTTCATCTCTGTCTCTCTCTGGTGCATTTTCCAGTGCAGCCTCAGATCAGCCTGCTGCCTGGCATCTGCTGGGTGGACCCTGCAGAGTTATCTGTATGTCACCATTTGAACCTACAAAAGCAATGTTTCATGCAGTTTGATGTAGAATGTGTAATAAGTATTTTTAATGAACAAGTGTTACTTGTTTTACTTTCAAGAATCTCTATCTCATACAACATTGTTTACTTTCTGTTTGAACTCAACTCTCCACAAACTTCTACTTAATAAAAGACTAATACATTTTATTAACAGTTACTGTGTCTGATTGATAAATGTGTTTTTTCCCAGTCCATTTTTCTGTATTTCTCTCATATTAATGCTTATATAGTAAGCATATATACTTTTACAATAGAAAATAAAATCTTCTTTTTGTTTAAGAAAAACCTGTGCTAACATTTTTCCAGTTTGTCTAATTTATTTGAAAGTTCTTTATTTGGGGGCTGAAGTGTGTAGCTCAGTGCTTGAGCACTTGCCTAGTATGCACAGGGTCCTGGGTTCAATTCCTAGTACTAGGGGGGAAAAAGAAAAAAAAGTTCTGCAAAGCAAAGAACAGTGATTGTCTATTTAAAAATCATGAGTTTCAGAGCCATGACTCTCTCTCCTATGTCAGAGGCCCATGTCCTCATCTGTACACCAATAACTTATTTTGTCATCCCTGAGAGGTAGCCACTAGTGTGTGGCATACCTAGCACATGTGTTACTGTTCTACCTGTGTTTCCCTGTCAAGTCTGCCTTTGGCTAAAGACAATATGGTTCTGACCTCGTTCTTTGTTACCTTAGTAATTTTGTAACTATACCACTTTTTGGGTTTCTTTAAAAAACAATTTTAAATAAGAACAAGTGTGTAATGTGTTAGTTGTGTAAGTAACAAGTTTTTAATTTGTACAGAATTTGTGTTTCTTATAATGACATTAATGAAAATTTTCATTTATTTCTTATTTGAAGAATATCAAAGAATATTCCAACAACTAAAGATGTTGAACCACTACTTGAAATTGATGGAGATATAAGAAATTTCGAAGTATTTTTGTCTTCAAGGACCCCAGTTCTTGTGGCTCGAGATGTAAAGACATTTCTGCCTTGCACTGTAAACTTAGATCCCAAACTACGGGAGATTATTGCAGGTGGGTGTTGATAGTACATTTAATTTTTCTTCCCTAAGGTCCTCAGATGTTTCCCTGTTTCTATGTTGCCATATAAGTTTATTTTGCTTCATGAAAAAACAAGAAATTTGAACCAAGCATCACACAGGAGAATTACTGCCATTAAGGACTAGGAGTCTTATTCTTTTGGGAATGTTAAGAAAATGTTTCAGCTTACTTTATTATAATCTCCTCCCCAAATTCTTACTTTGGAACTTTGGAATCAGATTTTTATTCACATATGGTTGTGACATTTAGATGTCAATCCATTATCATTTCCTGTCACCAGTCTTCTGTTCCTAAAAGGGCTCTTTCCAGAAGATTAAGGAAATCTTTCTATTACTTTTAAGTTTCTAACTTAAATTTGTATACTTGAGGATCATAACATTAAGATTTTGAAATAGAAGAAGTTCTTGGGGTACCACTGTGTACATATACACATATATACCACAACTTTATTGAAACACACTTTCTGCTCTGCTGGCTTATCCTTGAGTATTCCAGGAATTAAATTAGTACGCTATGTAAGGAAGTAAGCCAGATACAGAAAGACAAACACTGCTTGGTCCCACACATGTATAATCTGGAAAACTGTTTTCATAGAGAAGTAGAGTCAACAGTGCTTACCAGAGCCTGGGAGGATAAGGAGAAAGGGACTGGAAGAGACGTGGTGAGTACAAAGGTACAGCGAAGTAGGAAGAAAAAGTTCTGACTTTGATCACACAGTAGCAGGGTGCCTATAGTTAACCATAACTTAACATTTATTTCAAAATACCTAGAAGAGGAGATTTTGTATGGTCTCACCACAGAGATATGATGAATGTTTGGGGTGTGATGGATATGCTAATATCCCACACAATAGATACATGTATCAGAGTAGCATAGTGTACCCCATAAATGTGTACATAATTAAAAATAAACTACTACTGCAGTTTTTATAGGTATTAGTCATAAGCCTGATGTAAAATGTGTGTTTGGGTCTATGGAATCTGTTGTTTGGACAGGGTTGAGTCTACAAACCTGTAGTCTTATTTAACTTTGTGTTGATACTAGATAAATCTGGGTTATTACAGTTGGTAATACTTCATGCATTATAAGAATTTTTAACATATCTTAAAAAAATCTTTAAAAAGAAGAATTAGCAGGCTTGGTAACTTAAGAGCAGAATCCATATGTTGGTGACTTTTCAAATGGTGAAAAACTTTTTATAAACATTAATTGAGCTTTTTTAACTGAAAGATCAGTACGACATTCAAGATTTCTATTTCCTGTTGGAATCCCTGACAAGAGTGATATAGCCATGTTTCTGTCTAGTAAAGAAAGCTGGAATGGTGATTGGACTAATAACCACTACCCTGTTTTCTTTGGCTTTCTGGAATATGGTGGAATCTTTCAGATGTCCGTGCTGCGAGAGAGCAGATCAATATAGGAGGACTTGCATACCCTCCACTTCCGCTACATGAAGCTCCTCCTCGGGCACCCTCGGGCTACAGTCAGCCCCCATCTGTCTGCTCTTCCTCCACTTCCTTCAACGGGCCATTTGCAGGTGGGGTGGTGTCACCACAACCTCACAGCAGCTATTACAGCGGCATGACGGGTCCTCAGCATCCCTTCTACAACAGGGTAAGGACACAGTGGTATCTTTGCTTTTAAGAATTTGTTTCAGGAAAATCTCAGGACTTTTCTTCTTGTGGATTCTATTATTGTTTTGAAACTGTACATTGGCTTTAAAATAGGAAACTAAAGTTTAAATGTAAAATATATGTTTTTAAAAATCAGCAGAACTTTGGAGTTTAGCATATTACAGATCTCAAAAGAGTCTGAATATTAGAGATGCTTTTTATTCATTTTCTTGATAAGAAAGTGTACACCACAGCAGTGACTATTCTGTGCTCTAAAGGAATGTATTTCTTCTTGTTTGTAAACAAATGTTCCTTTGGTATATCTTGTATAATTCATTCTAGCATTTACAACAATGATAAACTTAAATTCCTATAGTAGTTTGTTATACCTCTACTTACTAAGATTTATACTTTTGAAATGTGAGATAATAATGGGAAAATACTGTTTGTAAGACTCAGGTGTAATCGCCAATTAATACCACTATAGCCTGTTTTTAGTTTTATTTCAAATTGTCTTATATACTTAATATAAATATGCAATTTTTAAATGAGAAGATGAGAGTATAATTAATTATCAATGGTGTTAAAATACTGTGAGGTTTAGTGGGCTCAGCCTACAGCTTATCTATTCTCATGTTAATGACATTAAACACTAATATTTCCTACCAGAAAATGGAGCATGAACCATAGAATTATGTTTCTTGGACTGTACTCTAAGATCCATCGCAATTCCTTATTTTTTGTTATCTTCCTATTTTGTCGAATTCAAGAAAATATAGGGGCTAGTATTCACAGACTTCAACTGCCTAGCTAAATAAATGTAATAGGAGCTAAGAAGAAAGAGAAGTTTAAAATAAATGTGGCAAAAGAAGGACTTTCAGAATTTAAATTAAATTTTCAATTTTTAAAAACTGTTGGCCATATTAGTAATTAGGCATTCTGTTCATAAAGAATACCTAATTCTTTATGAACAGAATACCTAATTACCCTAGGAATGTTATTCCTTTTTTCCTATGGACAAAGAGACAAAGATAGAACAATAACATTTTATAGTGTATTTTTCCTTATAAAATTTAACATGTAATAGGCAATGTCAAATGCACATTTTTAATCACATTCTTAAAATTGGCTATAATTTTACAGAAACTCATTCAATTAATACCATTTGAAGTTTTGAGACCAAGAAGTTTATTTTAAAAAAATTATCAGATCATTTAGGCCAATTTCTTATATTTACTAACTTAAACAATAACAATAATATGATAATGCTTTAATAATATTTTATTATTTTTAAAACATTTAATTTTCTTTTTAGGTTTAGTAGTTATTGCTATAGTTATTTGAGGTTTTTAGTCTCAAAGTTAAAAACAGAATAATTCTCTTAAACCATCAGAGGTAAAGAAGGTGGGGGAAGATGCTATATTAGTGTAACATCCGAGTGAATTGTAGTTTTGCCCAGATAATCTGATATGTGAAGCTGATTAAAAGTAAATGCCGTAGTTCTGGGTTTCATGTAAACAGGATTCTCCACCTATTTTTAAGAAACATAATTACTTATTTAGAAATAGAGCACACTCCAGGATGGTTAGGATATAAGGAAGCTCCAGGAACTTGGAGTGATGCTATTCCTGAATTTCATACTGGAGTGTTCTCATATGATCCAGACTTTTCTGGGTCTTATTTGGGCTAATCTTTTTTTTTTTGTAAGTAATAGTGTTCTAATAAGATACCAGTCTGCTTTTTAAAAAGACATTGACTTAATATATGTAATCACTTTGAACCTGCCACTTGACAAGTCTGTACACGTTAAACATGTCGAAACTGTAAGGTACAAAATTTCAGTTGCTTTCTTTAAAAACGCTTATAATTAAATGAATAATATAAAATGTAAAACATATGTCTTAAATTTTGGTTTTATATCTTACAGAATATGAGGGAGGCATTTTTGTTCTTTTGTCACTTGCACTAAAAGTTTTGGAGTTGTGTTTGGTTAGTTTCATTTGATAACTCTCATTACACTTTTATTTCTATAATTGTTCATGCCCTTTTTTGTTACATGTTTTTCCATAGCCATTCTTTGCCCCATACCTTTACACGCCAAGGTATTACCCTGGCAGTTCCCACCATCTCATCTCACGTCCATCAGTAAAAACGAATTTGCCCAGAGATCAGAACAATGGCCTAGTAAGTATGTAAAAGGGTAACTAAAATATTAATCTCATAATAAACATAGATAGCACTATAAATTGGGTTTTTTTCCTTTCCAGAGTAAAAGAGTGCAACTTATTTTATAAATAGTTTTAAGAAATGTAAGACTATTACTAACACAAAATGTATTTTGTTTTCGTTTCTGGTAAAATCTGTAGAAGGAAAATGACTAGCAATCTCAGTGATTAATGTTAAGTTTTTTACAACCAGAGATTTCTGGCTTGTAAACTAATGTTTGTTACCAAAACTTTTAAGACTAAATCTTTACCTCTAATAATTTCTAATATTTTTTTGAAGGCTATACATATGTGATATCTGCATAATTATGTATTAGCACCATGAAAAACATAGATGCAGGCAATGAAAACATTTCAGTCTTATGTCACAAACTAAACAGGATAAGGAGAAATCGCTCAAAGGTACTATTGAATCTAATTAATCCAAAACAAAATACATTTTTGCCTAATATATTAGGAGTTCCTGATGATAAACTAGTTTAAGTAACAAGTAAAAACAAACTCCCTGTTAATATAATTTAAATTAAATTTTAAAATGTCATGAAGGGAAAATCTAGTCATAGAAACGATTCAATGTTGTATGTATTATTATTTTAACATCATGTTCATTCATCAGAGTCTGGCTTATCTCTGCACCGTTTCACCCATGCTTTCCTGTTTTATGTTGTTAGGAAGTTATCAAGGAGGATGCTGCTGAGGGGCTTCCTTCACCCACAGACTCCTCGAGGGTAATGGAGTAGTCTTGTGGTGTGGAACCTAGCATCTCATTGCTTCTGCAGCAGTAATGACATCTTAATCGCCACGGCAGCAGTTCACTAACTCTGCATTTGTGTGATGGCAGCTAGTGCAGAATAGCTGAATACTAATAATTATAGCTTATGAATTAATTAAAAAGCTGATATTTACCCTTTACTTCCTCCTGCTTTTCCCTTTTTATCACTGGCATGGGATGAGGATTTTTATTCTCCCATAAGTTTTTCCCAGCAGCCATCAGAAGCATTCAGGTGTTTGTTTCTTAGTGTTGAGCTCTGTTTTTACCTTTGATTGTTTTTGTGAAGAATATAGCTGGTAATGCACATGTAGAAGAGTTTTGAAAATATCTAAAATCACCTTTGAGACTATAAGAAGACATGAACCAGATAGTATGCACCTAAAATGCATATTCTCAATGTGGGCATCCATAGGTAATAGAGTCTCTTAACCTGTGTGTGCACAGGTAGTCTAAGTCTTTGTGCAGTACTAATATTCTTTCTGTTTATTAAAATAAAATTTCCAGACAAATGCAGAGCTGGTTCAGCATGTAAAGGAAGTTACTCAAACCTCCCCTCAATACCTTAAGGCAGGTTCTTACTAACAAACAAAAACTTTGTAGAGGAAATAACTTTTATTGTTTTATTTACAGAATATATTATCCCAAGTAAATATGATCAATTTAATCTAAAATTATGCTGAAATGTGGCATAGTACTTTGAGTCAGAGGGTGAAATATTGCATCCTAATGTTATCAGCAATTTTTGACTTAAAGCATGCATTTGGGTAGGCAATAGTTTTTTAAACTTTAGTTTCCTTTGAGTTTATGTTAGTAAGAGAGAAGAAGAACCATTTTGTTTGCTTTTAGGGCTTGACGATTCTTAAGTCATTAACATTTCAGCTCAAGTGTTTGGGTAACTTCAATTATCCACAAATGATAGATGTAGCAAACCATAATAGTTCTCTTTGGATGCTTAGGGAATCTTAAATCCATGGATCATCACTGCTATATGCAAGAGTGGAGTTTTGTTTTGTACGAGAGCCTTTAATACAGAATTTCATGCATGCAGTGCAATTCTCTGAGCTAAAATTCCTCAGCAAATTTTTGATGAAAATAAGTGACTGTGAAGAATTTGATAGACTTAATGGCACAGATATGCTGAAACAGTAGCTATTACCATGCCAAAAAGTGTAGGGGCACACTGGTAATCAGAAGTGTCAGTAGTTTCTTTTAGCAGCAGAAAAGGAGCATTAGGCAAAATTAAAATGAGTTTTTGGGAAGGTAAAATAATGCAGTATCTGACACATGGTTAGAAGCCCAGTAACAAAGTGTAAAGGTACTCTGCCTGTATTTAGTGCCTTTGTTTAGTAAAATAACCAAACTATTTGTTGTTTTTATAATAGTAAAACATAGTTTTGTAACTGACATAGTCGGATTAGGTACTTACCACGCTTTCTTTGCTTTTAAGAAATTAACAATGACAATAACATGTAAAATGTGTTTTGTAAAAAAACTCGTAAAAAGTAGACATGTAGTTCAAAGGTATATTGAAAACAGTGGTGGAAATGTGAAGAACTTGTATGTGGGAACATTGTTGGGGACCAAAAGACTTCTCAGTGCAAAAATATTTAGTCCTTCTGCTCCTAAGGCTTTCCAGTTCTGTCTTAGGCAACAGTATGGACGATGGACACCATGTCCACATGGTCAGCTATCCCCAGCATGTGCTATTGATGGGGGAGGGCTGCTCACAGACCAAAAAGTGTTAGCCAGCTCTGGTCTTTTCAAATAGAGGTAGACCCATCTTTTTTTTTAACCACGAAGAGTTTCTGATAAGCCATTATAAAGTATATTCTTATGAAAACAATTGGGTTTTCTCACATGACATAGTTCAGATTATACCTTGTGAAGCCCAGCCAAGGACTTACACGTAGACATATGCAAGTGTTTCTCAAAGGTGAGGATTTCAAATATACGCTTCCATGCTTGCTATATTTTTCCTAGAATTTTATGACTGAGAAAAATTAAGTGCCAAATCTTGAAAAAGTGGGGAAAATATTAGACCTAAGATATGCTCCCCAGAATATTAGAGCTGAAAAGAACCAGTTATTTTCACCTTTTAGGCAGAGAAGCCTTTTTTAGAAATGAAGTCTCATCAGAACTCTAGTTCATAAAATCAGGGAGAGCAGACCTCTGGCCCCACCTGGACTTGCCTTTCCTCCTGAGGTTTCCTCAGGGACAAATAATAACCTGAAGTCAAGCGTAAATGACTCCATCACAGTTGAACCCTGTGAGGCTCAGCTAGAGGTACAGGAGGGGAGTGCCAGATAAAGGGCCAGAATGAGCATGTCCCATGTCCCAGGCTGTTGTTCTCCAGCACCCTGCTGCCTGCTTTGCCCCTATTTCTGTTGTGGGTAAAGAAGGGCTTTGGTCTTTGAGTTAAATAGATGCTGATGATGAACTCTTAGCCTTGAACAAGTTTATTCACCTCTCTGATTCTCAACTTTTTTAATCTAGAAAAAGCCCACCTTCCTCTTAGGTCTCAGTTAAGAGTTACTCAGCCTTAGCATACTTTTAAGTACATTATTATTATTACAACTACTCCAAAGCCAAACTCCACAGAGCTTTAAAGACTCAGAACTAAAAAGTTTCAGATTAAATAACCTTTGTCTCAGTAGTGGGAGCAGTGTACAAATAACTCCAGTCAATCTAGGTACACTCAAGACAGTTTACTTGTTATTACTTCTTAGACTCAAAAGATGTAATTTGGTTTGTGTTCTTAGAATTTAGAAGAATTTCTAGGTTTTTTTTTTTTTTTTGAATACTTAAATAGTCATGCATCACTTAATGAGAGCAGTTTGCTCTGAATATTGCAGTAATAGGCAATTTTGTTGTAGTGTAAAACAACCTAGAGTGTACTTATACAAACTAGAACAGCTATGATATCACCAGATGGTACAACATCATGGGACCAACCAATAATATGAGGTCCCATGTTGACTGAAATGTTACACATGTATGACTGTACTTTAAAATTTTGAAAGCTTTTCAGGGAAATTTTACTTGGTGTGTTGAGCCTCTTTAGTGCAGTTTTCATTGAGAATTACAGTTGACCCTGAACAACACAGATTTGGACTATGTGGGTCCATTTATGTGCTCATTGGGATTTGCAACACTTTGAAAAAACTTTACAAACTATAATCTAGAAATATTGAAAAATTAAGAAAATATGGTGTATCATGAATACATAAAGTATGCATAGATAAGTCTATTTTATCATTTACTTCCACAAAATATATACAAATCTATTATAGTTAAAATTTATTCAAACTTATGCATACCAAGACTATCCATGGTGCATTTGCAATGAGAGAAATGTAAAAAGTGTAAAGATGCAGTATAAAATCATAACTACGTAAAATTAACCGTAATACTTACTGCAATAATGTTGTAGCAATCTCCTGTTGCTCTTGTCAGGAGCTCAAGTGTTGGGACACTCTGCTTAAAATACTGTGGGATGCTGGCCAGCTTGGTGTGAGCAGTTGTCTGTCCAGTCAGCTGCTTATCAAGGTAAAAGGTGATCTCTCAAGGTGCTCATGTATGTATGTAATCCATACAGCAACCAAAATGTATTAATCAGCCGTCATTGGTAAGCCTCCAGTCAACAGCAGGCTATTGGCGGTTAAGTTTTGGGGGAGTCAGAAATTCTCTGAATTTTTGACTGTGTGTGGAGTCGGTGTCCTTAATCCCCTTATTGCTCAAGGGTCAACTGTAGTGGCACTGAGATCATTTGGTGACAGCTTAGGAAGGCTGGGTTGGGCCAGGTCTCTCTCCCATTCCCCCATGGCATTGTGCTATGTAGTCACCACAAGAGTGGTGTGACTTAGAGTGACTTAGAGTTCGCTGCTCCTGTGGTAACAGAATTTCACTGACAAACATTTTTCAAAGGAAGGAATAACATGGCATTTTTTATCCTTTTACCCTTCCCTGACTGACGGAGCCTGGAGTACCGCAATGCCTGTGTGATCATTCATTGTTCAGCGCACATTAATTGAGCATGCAAGGCACTGCCAGCCAGGGTACGGCAGGTAACACAACTGCTAGAAGTCCTGCCCTCTACGGCTGGCTGTGGCCTTGAAGGCCCCCAAGGGAGTTAGCAATATTAAGAAGTCATTCTTTCTTGTCTTCTTGACATTTTGAGACATCTGTAG